GGATAAGTTCACTCAAGGCTTGCAGCCTTTTCACCGAGCCTTCTTCGTTCGAAACAGTGCTGTCACCGCTGTCACCTAGACTTCACGCGGCTTGGCGCTTCACCTAAACTGCTGCAGGATCAGCCATCCATGCAACAGGTGGTCAACACACTAAAGTGCTGGCGGCAACAATGAGCCTACGCCAGACACAAGATTGTTCGACGAGCCCTTCGCAATGTTGTCAACAAAATGGATAAGTAGACGGCCACGTCCAGGGCATTTTTGCAGAGGAAGGTCTGTGGCATGGCTTAGCATAATCCAATGAAGGTCAGTGGCTTGAAGCCTGGCCAAAGAAGCTACAGCAGCAATAGCAGTTCACAACTTGGGAAGCCTGGTCACTAAGCACCCCAGCCTTTTAACCCCGGGTTCTTCAAGCACCCGATGGAATCATTGGAAAAGCTTTCGCTAGGCTGTACCGTGTTTGAGCACCTAAGGTGCTACAGGAACTCAAACTAATGCCAGTGAAGTGAGGAAGCGCATGTTTTGCCAGAAAATCTGATTTCAGGGAGATCCGCTGATGTCAGACAAGATCAACAAGTCCAAGATGTGTGTTATTGACTTAATCATTCCTTTGATTTGTAGCTGGTATCATGACAGACTCTGAAGGACTCTGGAATTGCAATGGGGAAACCAAGGATGTGTCAGTATTCGCAGTATTGCCCTTGACCTAGGGTCAAAACGAATGAAAGTGATCAGCAGTCAGTGAGTGAGCAGGACCTCTCAAGATGCATGCTCTTTGGATAGCATAACACCTCCAGGACTTACCCAGAACGACCATTTGAGGGACATGGAAGATGATCATACACTCACCAAGTCTTGACCGAGACATTGTCTCGCGGTGAAAGGCCTCGAGGAACGGCCTCGAAGCACTGGAAAACACCGAGCTTTCTTCATGTCCAAACACCAAATCAACCTTTTCCGAGCGCGGCCATGGTGGCAACTGCGATGGCCAACTGGTGCGGAGAAGGAAAAGCACCAGCAATCAAGTAGCTCAAGTTGGGTAGCCCAGAGATTCGGCTTCACAGGTAGCACGAGAGTCAACTGCACCGAAGACATGATCGTTTTACACGGTTTTGCCCCTTTCTTGCTATGTGAGGGCATTTGGTCGGACGAAGTGGTAGATGAACTTCTCAGACCGATCGGCCCTAGAGCAAGAGACCACCGTTTCGAAAGCAGTCATTTGTGATAAATCCTCTCATAGATGTGTGGCACAGATGAAAGCACATCAGACAAAGACTTGCTTGACTTACTGCCACGTCGGCCGGGCATTTTTGCAGAGGAAGGTCAGTGGCCTGAGGCCTGGACTCAAAGCTACAGCAAGGGCAGGTCACTCAAACCCAGCCCTTTAACCTCTGGTTCTTCAAGCACCCAATGGAATCATTGGAAAAGCATTCGCGCTCGGCATTTTGCCGGGTTTGGGCACCTACTAAGGCGCTATGTTACTCACAGCCATCCAGCAAACAAGTGAGTCACATTCCAGAATGCTGGTGGCGCAGATGAAGATACGCCAGACACAAGATTGTTCGACGCGCCCTTCGCAATGTTGTCCACCTAATGAATAACTGGACTGCCACGGCCGGGGCATTTTTACAGAGGAAGGTCTGTGGCTTAGCACCAACGATAGAATGAAGGTTTGTTGCTCGAAGCCTGGAATCAAGACTTCGGCAGCAACAAAAGATCACCGCTTTGTATAAGGTCACTCAAACCTTGCAGCCTGTTCGCTGGGTTCTCTTCAAAGGCCCAATTGAAACGATGCATTTTGTTCTAGGCTTCACGGGGCTTGGGCACTTGAGCTACTTCATTCACAACCATCCAGCACACAAACTGATGAAAGCACATCAGACAAAGACTTGTTTGACTTACTCTTCACAATGCTGTCACGGTGAATGATGGAGAAATGCAGCGAAAAAAAAGGGTGTTGTTGCCGACCAGAATGCGGGTGAGCTCAAGGCTACTTCAACAACAACAGCAACAACAACAACAGCAGCAACAACAACAACAGCAACAACTCGGCAGACTAGGGACATGTGAAGCTTGGATTCACCTCTAATGGCTGTGTGCTTGGCTGAGAACTAGGCTACAGTGCTATAGCCACCCGAGAGCACACCGATCGAGAATCAGAACAGTCAGCGTCAGCTAAATGGAGTCAGCCTTGCTTTAGGCATAGGGTTGGCTGGAATGGTATAACTCTTTGTACTATCAAGGAAGCATCCCCGCCCTTGCCCCTGCCTGCTAGCATCTCTGGGATGTTTTGTAGTCAGATGGTCGTAGGCTCAAATGTCAGCCAGGCGCGCTTGCATGTTTTGTCATCAACGCTGGCCTCCTTAAAGGGTTTGAAAGAGCATTTGGCAAAGATTTCGCACAGGTTCCTTGTGTATCCAGTATAGTGTGGCAGTGATCTATATTAACTCTATGCCAAGTGGCATCCATTGTTCCTGGAGCAGTGCAACAGAAGATCTCTCTAAAGAACGCCGTTAGCCGCTCAAAACAATAATCCGGGTTTTTGTCTCCCCTTCCTAGGCCGCCTGAGGTCCTGCAAATTCATAAACCCAACTTACAACCACAATGATAATAAGGCCTCGCTGCTTTTCAGACTTTGCTCGCAACCACAAGCGGTTTTTGTCTTCCAGAAAGCTTAAATCCAACCCTCGCTTCATGGGACTTCATGGGACGAGTGCTGATTCACTCACAACTGGGAATCGTTTTCAGCTGCAGAACTTGCTTTGATTGAAAATGGCCGAATGCCCAGAACGACTTTGAAACGCATAGAGCTTGACACATTTCAAACTGAGACGTTGTAGGAAACGGAGCTTTTGCAATGGTAGATGCATGCGGATGCTGCCATGTGCTCGGCGATGGCCAGCTGGATGTATTTAGGTTAACTTGCCCAAGTGGCCCAAGGAGTGCCACAACATATGCGATGGTACCTTAAGTACTATGGTCGAAACATATCAAAACTGATTGTCCTGGGCCTTGTTTCCCCTCAGGGAGAGTTATGAAGCGTCGGCATTGCCTCGTTCATTTGTGTTTGTTTGCCACCGGAGATCTTCACGTGGATTGGAAGACTCGCGTTGCAGCGCCACCATAATCAACAAGCATCGCAGCCTTCTCTTTGCCATCATCACAGCGACAGTGTGAGGAAGGTGTGACATGGACGCGACTGCGCGCCTCCAGTGGCGTTCGGTCACTGATGAAGTCCAAGAAAGCCAGGCCGACGTTGGCGTCCAAGTGCCAGTTGAGGCGATGAAGATGGCGTCCCGACCTGTGGTTCTCACATCGACCAAACCACTTTGCGGTCGTGTCGTCCGGTCTCGGTGAGACCCAAAGTGGGAGCCTTGAAGCATCAGGGATGAGCCAGACCTGGATGAGGAGATTCAGGTAGGTTAAGGAGCAAACATGCTTTTTGGCATGGGGTTTCAGCGATCTGTCGTAGTTCACCATAGATTTTGGACACTTCATGCAGAAGTTTTGCAATCCTTCAGGTGACGAATCCTGAGTCAGACTCCGCATTTGCCAAAGCCTGTGGGCTTTGTTCCATCACTTCTGTGCACAGCCAGAGATGAGCAAGTAGATAGAAGCAGCACGGGCCAACTTACCAGCCATTTTGCCGTGAAAAATGCGCTGCCGCCCGGCAACGCTGCTTTGTCGCAAAGTTCGGTCGCAGTACTGGTGGTTCGGCGTTTTTCATTGGAACTTTGGTGAGTCTGAGTGGGAAGAAACAAGTTTGGTGAGTTAATGACACCACAAACCAGTATGTTCAACTGCTTTCCGTGTGCGAGGAAGAGGTCAAACTTGGGAACCTGTCAACTGCAATGTTTGGCTTCTCAAGAAATCACCTGGCGGAGGGACACGAGTCCCAAAAACTGATCAACACCCAAACCGATCGTTTCCACACCCCCGACGTCGCTGTTCCCTGCACAGCACTTTGCGTTTCTTCGCCCCGTCTGGCGGACGCGTTCTTCGATGTCCTCGTCGAGACGCCCGTGAGTCGGTATATCGCGCGCGAGGCATCGCGAGGATAGACATGGGATAGACAAGTGATAGACATGGGTCTGAATGGATCACTGGAAAGCCAACGAGCCATCGATTTGTTTTCTCCTTGAAGCCCTTGGATTCTGCGGTGCAAGCGCCACGAGTCCACCGAAGGACGAAACGTCGGGGGCGAAACGCACACCAGCGAGGCTGCTCGGCGCGATCGGCACCTGCAGTAAGCGGTGCCTGTGTTGAACTCATAAGTCCTGCAAGAACCGTTCGCTCTTCAAGTGAAGCAAATACACCATGCTGAAAGTATGAAGAAGTGCAGTTCTTCCTTCAAGGAATCCATCCGTTCACCGGAGCGAAAGCAGTGCTGACACAGCTTTTGATGTGTGGTTTGGGTTCCTCTTCTGCTGTCAATCCTGAAGGCGTTCGAACACTGCGCCAGCCAGCACTTTCTTGTGGAGATCGGTTTGACTTGTCTCTTCATCTGGTTTGCGATCACTTTCGCTGCTGTTCGGGCTGCAGTTTCGGACACCAGAGCGCCAGCTCTTTCAGCTCAGCTCGGCTGAGTCTCTTCCAGCCCTGCACGGGCGGACCGAAGCACGTGCTGCATGGCGCTGCGGTGGTTCTCACGCCAGGTCACGCCGTCGGCCTGCAGAACTGGCGCCACTCGTCGCTGGGCGCTTTCGGGGCTTCGTCGTCGCTGGCGTCGACTCGTTTCGAAGAGCGGGCGCCGGAACGAGTGGGGCGCCGGAACCTTGTGAGGCGCTTGAGGTGAACATGAAGGGTTCGCAGGTTCATCAGCTGATTCTGTCGCTTCTTCCATGTCTCTTGGACGTGTCTGTTTCGCTGGGGCGATCGATGATCTTGCGGCGGCGCTCTCGCTTGCCTGCAAGCACTCCGGCACTCCTTTTTTGGTAGTGAAGATCGATGGCACAGCCCTTGTGTGAAGCAGAAAGCGCCTTCTCCTTGGTGGTGTGGAAGCGAACTTCGGAGTCGCTATAGATACAATAAGATAGTAGAAAGCCTCCTAAAAATGAAGCGAGTGCAGTTCCTTTGCCAAGATCGATTTTGTTCCATGTATGCATCCACGGACAGAGGTGAGGAGTGCCCTCTCAATAACTGTCCGTTCTTGACGACTTGGCTGGGCAGTTAGCTGGCTCCTGCTTTGTCTCAAATCCACGTCCAAAAGCTGCGTGGCAAATGCTTCTTTTCTGGTTTGGCCCGTCTTTGGTCTCTTAAACCTTTGTGATCAGTGAGGGCCAGGGGATTCTACTCAGGGGTGTCGCACCACAATTCTTCAACCTAGGCACCACCCGATGGAGTCCTGCAATCCTCCAATGATGCAAGAACCTTGTTATCTTTGCCAGGGGATTCAGAGATATTCAGAGTATTCTTGGCATCCATTTCCGTTCTCAACCAAAACAGATGTCAACATGCATGCTGCATGTGCGTTCTTGTTTGTTCCTGTTTCACCGAAGAGGTGCAGCTCCATTCTGGTGCTTGGCGACCTAAGGGCCGGCAAGGGCTTCGGCCGGTCGGTGTCTTTTTCGCGAAGGGCCTGGTGGACTGGGCCTGTGGTCGGCGTCTACACTTGGTTTGCCTGACCTGTGAGGTCGACCTGAACGGAATCCATGCACCGTTCCCATGCGTTTTTCCGTGCGTTTGTCCAGTACCCAGGAGCTGATAGCCAAATATCTGGCGGATTTGAGTCACAGAAATCCAAGGACGCAGCAAAGTCACGCAGGAAACACGTTGACAGCTGCAACTGGTGGATGGAACGGTGGGTAGTAGCTGGGTTGTACCTTCAGAGTACTTTCAGCTAGGGCCACGGAAAAGGACCGACTTGGACACTTGCACCACCGAGTCTTTTGGGCCAAGAGCAGCAATATTCTTTTGAATACGCCGTAATTATCTATAGCTGTGACAGCTCAGAGAAAAGCCCCCAGGAAGCAGTACGTGGTTTCAACATTTCGCAGCCAGATCCTGCAATCAGCAGCGGGGTCATCAAAGCAGAATACCGCCCTGTAGGCAAGAGCTTAGGAGCACCTACAAACAGGTGCTTGCAACCGATTCAATTGTCACCTGATCTCAAACATTTCTCACTCAAGTGACAACTAATTGCTTTGGTAAAGCAGCAAGCCTTGAAGCAGCTTCTGATTTCTACCAGAGCCACCCTCCAAACCCTGCAATTCCTCTTCTTGCTGAAAGGCATGTCTTTGTTCCAACGGTGTACTGAGTACTGTTTGAATCTGAGGTCCGCTGGGGGTCGACGGGGTACAAAACCCGGCTGATGTCAATCCCGGCTAGCCCAAAGTGGGCTTATGGAGTTCGAGGACTCCAGGTGTAGGTTTTGAGGCCCTTCTAGGTTGGATATCAGGGGGAGGCCATCGCTTCTAGGTTTGGGTTCTTTTTTGCCAGATCCAGGTCTAGCTGTATAGGTAAACGTGGATGCATTTTGAAGAGGACGCTGTGAAGCGACAAAGGTGTTGCCCCGATGCATTGTCGAGGGCATACGTTTGGTAGGTCTCTTGATCTCTCAAATGTGTGATCACTGCTGAAAAAGTGAGGGCGGCAAACATTCTGACAGGTTTCGCTCTCACGGTCTGACCACAGACTTGAAGGCCCAACTGGGCGTTTTCGGAACATGGCAATGTTGAGTCCTGCGCTAGAAAGGCATGTAGAATGTAGACAGGTGGGACTCTGCCTTTCTTTAAGCCCTCATACAGATTCCCTCATGAAGAAGGCGCCTTCTGTTGGGTGCATGTCTCCGAAGTTCGGCTCGCTGATCGAGGCCGGCAGGCCGCACCCCTGACGGTCCACAGCGGAGCCATGCATATATACATCTTCTCCACCCTCCAAAGAGGAGGAACCTAGTCAGCTTCCTTCAACCTGTGCCTGTTGGCCGTGGAACACCGCACAGCGTCGATCTGTGAAAACCTCCGCTTCCATCGCCGGCTCTCGCGCCGGACGTCGGCGACAGTGACGTCGTCGCCCGGTGGACGGGGCGCGGGCGTGCGGGAAAGCGGTGGAGCTCGACGGGGCGCGTCGAGCTGGTCACTTGATCGTGAGGATCACTGAAAATGCGTCGAGCTGTTTGGACCTGCTGTCTGCATGGTGAGATGAAGGAATCTCCAGGTGACCTGTGGAGTCTGTGGGTGGTGTTGGCATGAGACACTTTGAGCCTTCCGCTGGACCAGAACAAGAGAAGAGTACTGGTACCAAGTGCTGCCTTCGTCAAGATGTGCATTGTACATCCCCACAACAGTGCTGAGTCCATAGTTTCCTCTCTTCGGACAAAGGTATGCCAACGAAGGCTTTCTGAGAGACATCGGTTTGACTTGTCTCTCGAACTCGAACATGTTTGATTACTGAAGCAGCCATTTGATCAGCGGCGGCAAGTGTTTTGACAGGTTCTGATTTGTAGTGGTCAGTTGGACCATGTTTGTTGAAGGGAATGCAGAATGCTAGCCGTTAGCGGTCTCTGTATGAGATCTTGTGAGTGCTCCACTTTCAAAGGGCCATTCATTTCACACGAACCATGTAATGATTGTAGCACGCAGGGCCGTTCGTTGCATGCATCCGTGCATCAAAAACGTTTACGATCTGACGTGACCATGACCTGCCAATCGATGACCTGATCATACCTGATCTATCACGCAGATCCTCAGTAGACGTACGGGAAGACGCCCGGCTGCGCCACGCGTCACGCCGATGCCGGTGGCGCGACGGGTCGATGGTTGAGCTGATTTGCGATCGGTGAGGCCCAGAGCCTCGGTCATTCGCGGTGGATGGAGCCCCAAACGAATCTGGTCCAGGACTTGGGAGACCTCAGAGTCCATGGAGTCTTTGTACCCGTCCTGAAGGATTGAAGCAAGTACACCATGCTTGTCCAATGCATGTTGCTTCTCTTCAGTGTGTGCCTTCCAGTCATTCAAGAGAAGATAGAGAAGAGTGCTGCATCAAGCCCCTCCCTTTGGTGTTCAAGAATTTCATGCACGGCTTCGGCTTGGTTTGTCGCCAATTCTCAGAACACAACTCGAGCAGTAGTGCACCATAGTGCACTATCAAACACTTTCTTAGAAAGGCATCGCCTTTCTTTGTCTCTTGACTCAAACATTTGTAACTACCATTTGGACCGGCTCCGTCTTGTACTTTTTCCGACTCAAGGACCGGAGATTGGGCGCCAGAAGGGCCGCGGCATTCGTCGTCCTTTTGAAACCACTCGGCGCTGCCGAGGTTTCTCAAGCCTGAAACATGCCCATCCATTGAAGCCACTCTGCGCTGCCGCCGTTTTGCTCGTCCATGGCGAATAGGAGGCCAGTGTCAATCACTTGCCTTTGTTGATAAAGAGTTGCATGTGCAGCTTCAGCGTTTGCATCGCATTTGTTTGACTTGTCTCTTGAGCGTTAACATGTGTGATAACTAATGCAGCCGTTTGCCCTGCTAAGGCAGCCAGTCTGATGCGATGTGTTCAAAGGACAGCCCTATTAATTCGAGCACTTAAGTCTTGTGCTTGAACGGAAAATCCTTGTTTCAAGGCTTGAGTCTTGAGTTACTGCTAAAAAAATACAAAGTGTGATGAGATGCTGCATGAAAGGATCCTCTCACCACTTTTGGATGCACCGTTTTGGTGGCTTCTGAAAGCTCATCCTGAAAACCTTGAAGAGCTGTGTGCCTTTTGTTCTTGATTTGTTGGCATCCGTTTGAGTTGTCTTTTGCTCCCAAACCTTTGTTATCACTGGTACTGTCGTCCTCTCAGCAATCCCGGAATCATTCAGATAGGTTCTCAGTGGTCGGGTGATGTAGTAATACATGGTATTGATTTGGAGTATTCCATGTGTGTAGCGCCTGCCGAGATTTTGCCACGCTATGCCGCGTGCTATGCCGCGTAAGAAACCCAATGGGATCACGATAAGTCAGCGAGTCAAGTCAGGCTATTCACCTAACTCACTGGCATCAAGAGAAAGCCACCTTGCTCCAACAGCTTTGTTTGGGGACCACTCAGCATGCCAATGGGATCACAGAAGGATTCTACTGAGAGTTTGAACAGAGCTCACGTGTGTCTTGATCGCAAGCATACTCGCAACCATTTTGATTGGCTATTGAAAGTCCTGAAGCGGGGCCACGCCGATTTGAAGGTCCTGCGCCGGGCTTCGTCGCAGCGCTGAAAAAGAATTGAAGTCTAGTGCCAGGAAGGCTGGACCCTTCGGATGGAAGCACATCCAATATAGGGTGGTGCATAACGCCGCCTGTTGGTGTATTGTGAGACCTTGTGATCCTTCCGCTGGACCAGAACAAGAGAAGAGTTCAGGTACCAAGTGCTGCCTTCGTCAAGATGTGCATTGTGCATCCCCACAGCAGAGTGAAGAGTGCTGAGTCCATAGTTTCCTCTCTTCGGACAAAGGTATGCCAACGAAGGCTTTCTGAGAGACATCGGACTGACTTTTCTCTCGAACTCGAACATGTTTGATGACTGAAGCAGCCATTTGATCAGCGGCGGCAAGTGTTTTGACAGGTTCTGATTTATAGTGGTCAGTTGGACCATGTTTGTTGAAGGGAATGCAGAATGCGAGTCGTTGGCAGTCCCGTATGAGATATAGTGAGTGCTCAGTGCTCCCTGGTAAAGACGATTCAATTCAATTCAATCGAACATGTAGTAATTGTAGCACGCAGGGCCGTCTTGTTCGTTGCATGCATCCATTCTCCAACGTGTCTAGCTCTGTGTCGATGACCTCCCAGTTGGCAAAGCTTCTGACATGCGGCTGTTGCTCCTGTTATCCCGCAGATCCCAAAGCCATCGGAAGACGGCTGTGCCAACCAGCACTATGTTGGTGGTATTGGCGGCGTCGGTTTGACGTGTGTTTTGTTCTTGATTTGTTGGCATCCGTTTGAGTTGTCTTGCTGCCAGTAACCTTTGTTGTCACTGATGCTGTTGTCCCCTCAACAATCCTGCAGTCCTTCATGCTTGCGGCCCCTGCCGTGATCTTGCCGTGGTATGCCCGGTAAGAAAAGCAACAGATCGTACAGAAACCCATTTGGATCACAGAAGGATTCTACTGAGGGTTTGAACAGAGCTCACGTGTGTCTTGATCGCAAGCATACTCGCAACCATTTTGATTGGCTATTGAAAGTCCTGAAGCGGGGCCACGCCGATTTGAAGGTCCTGCGCCGGGCTTCGTGGCAGCGCTGAAAAGCAATTGAAGTCTTGTGCCAGGAAGGCATTTCCTTTGACATGAATTTTGTACCTGTTCCATGAATCAATGAAGTGCTGCCGAGCTTGTTGCAGGCCATGATTCGCATGGAGGCACCTCCGCCAAAAGGAGAAGGCACTGCCTGGCCCTCCCATTTAGAAAACCCCTTGATTGGAAGAGAGGTGGCCGACCCCGTTGCTTCATGCATCCCTCCGCTGTGGATGCCTTTCGATCCGTTGCATTGAAACCGACGTGAAGGACACCGAGGTTCGTGTTCCGAGGGCACGTGGCGGACGCCGGACGCCTTTGCGACGATGGGTCGCTGGGCTTGTCCAGCTTGGCTCGTGTTTCGGAGCGTGAACTTGGAAGATCCAACGGATCCCTTGCTGCGGTGGCCATATTTGGGGTGAACGGCCGGAGCTGGATCAGTGCTTGTCATACGTTTCACACTCTTCACCCCCCATTTTCAGTAATGTTGGACTCCGATGATATCGAAGGAGCACTTGTGGCAGCCCGACTTAGCAGTGCATCATGCTGAGCATCGTTGAAGATCCTTCAACAAACCCAGCAAAGATCTTAGGGCCCCCGAGATCATCCTGTAGTAAAAGCTCTGGCCGAAAAAGGGTAAGACCTCTTTGGAGCTTGTGCAAGTGTCCTTCCACCACATCTCCCCATCACTTGTTAGTGCAATCTTTTCTCTTCACTCACTACCCAAAGTCAGAACCCATCATGTTCCAGCCCATGCGAACCCATCACTTGTGTCTCGCCAGCTCAGTGGAATGGAACGGTCGAACCAACGTGTTGAGAAGGAGTTCCATGCACGAGACGAGCGAGCGTGGCCATTTTCGTGTCGGAGCGGTCACTGGGGCACAGCGGCTGCGGAGTGGGTATGCCACCTGGCAGCATGACAACACTTGCTTGTCCCACTCTCCTGTAGGAGTCGATTCAAGCTGAGCTTGTCTCAGTGGTCACCGCAGCTGACGCAGGTCACCATGTCGGTTTGGAGGGCGGAAGGCCGCAGGTGTTGGGTCTCCCCAGCGGCGTTGGTTTTGCAATCATTTTGAAACAGCCAGTCACACGGAGCACGCACGTTCTTTTTGCAGGGAACAAAACAAGGCGGCCACGTAACCCGTGAAACCCACGGCCGGCGTGACACTTCACATGCGAACGTCCAGCTTCGCTTCTGCCGAGAGCGGCTTGTCGGAGTTTCGACCGGAGTTCGCAAGCCCGTTTGAACCTCGGCCTCAGCGAAAAAGAACGACATGGTGACATGGACCGTGCGTGCTGGTGTTGGTTGGAGTGGCTGCAGCGTGTTGTTCACATTTGTACTTCTGGAAAAATTATAGTTGACTTGTAACCTTGACTGCAATGGTGTGGATGGCTCAAAGCCTGGATGAACCTGTGGGTAGGTGAGCTCCTGAGGCTGCTTGCTTCAGGTTCCGCCTCTGGCTGGTGGGGTCTGGCGTGCCCGGCGCATTGCAGTGCTTCGTTCCTGCTTGTGGCCTCCGTCTTCCTCACCGGCCTTTGCACTGGGGCCTTGGTTTCCGTGTGTCTTGGCTTTTGGCTAACCCACCGGCCTTGGTTTTGGGCTGCTTCACCTCCTTCGCGGAGCACCTCATCCACTCCTACCTCTCGCCTTGCGGCGTACTTATATGAACGGGACCGCCCTCTCCATCTTGATTGAGGCAACTCGTGCGGTTTCCCGTTCCCTCAGGGGACTTGCTGACACCTTGGACTTGGCTGCGGCCCGGGCGGAAGGTTCTCGCCCTCCTCCTGCTCCTACTCCTGCCTTGTCCTCTGATACGGTTGACACTGTTGACTGGGACCTCATCACCCAGCTGGACTCCATCACAGCCCCTTCGGCTGGACCTCGACCATCTGCTGCCCCAGGCCTTCCTGGCCCTGAATACTCTGGCTACCACGAAGTCGCTCGTGCTTTGCTCCCTTTGCCTGAGCATTGCTTGGATTTGTGCCGTCGCCTGGCAGGTTCTCCAACTGAGGTTCGTGCTCGAGCTCAACGTGCTTGGGACGCTGGTCAGTGGGCAAAGGCCACTCTTGAGAACAAGGTTGCCAAGCCGAGGCCTACTCCAAAGTTGGCATTGCAAGCTACGTGCTACATTATCCTTCGAGGACCAGGCATTGAGAGGCCAGTTCGAGTGGCATCATCTGCGGAGTACTTCAAGCTCCTCCCCACTTTTGAGGGCTCGGTGTCACACTCGTTTCCCTCCTTGGCTGAAGGCCGTGTGTACTGCTTGGCTGCAGGTGTCGCATTCCCCGACCCTGCTGATCAGTGAGGATGCCCGCCGATGTCAAGTACCTGGACCAGGGAGTGTTTATGTTGCAAGTCCTGGGCCTCGATTTTGCAATATTTGGTTTGGAGGGTGTCAGAGAATGCTTTGCAGTACCAATTATGTCGAGGGCGGCTGGGACGCTCTTTGCAGTACCAGTTGGCTTCTTCCCGGAGGAGGTCCTGTCTGGAGGCTCGGAGGCTGCGTCGGGGGACTTTGTAGGTCCTTCCACAGTGGTCACTGTCTCTTTGGTTTTCGAGGAAGAGGATGGCACGGAGTCTCAGACTGGATTGGAGGCAGAGGTTTTGTTGGTCGACCTTCACAAGATGGTTATGGACTTTGTCGGAGGGGCCCGGGATTCAGGCTTTCTCTATAGACAACCCCGACTTGGTCCCCGATGGAAACTCCCTCATGAAGGAGGTCTACTCGTGGTTGGAGTCAGCTACAGAGGGGAGAGCCCAATACTACTCTGCAGAGGAGCCCCCGCCGCAAACGGTGATTCCCAAGCAATCCCGGCAGAAGAACAGGGCTCCAGTTGGTGGGGCTTCCCCGCCGAAAAGAGTGACTACCGCAACGTTGGCCGAGCAACTAGCAGAACTTTCCAAGAGCATCCATGCTACATCGTCCCAATTGGAGACTATGGCACAGCGGCAAGACCGGATGGAGAACCTGCTCGCATCCCCTGCGGCTCCGGCCCAACTTCCGGTTCCAGCGCACCAGCGCCCTTTCCAGACGGCGGCTCCAGGAAATCCCTCTCCCCTGCAATTCATGAGAGGGGTCGGCACTCCCCCCAGAGTCCGGACTTTCCAGGAGAAGGCCACCAGGACTCCCCTCGCCCCAGAGGTTCCAGAGATTCCCGAAGACGAGCCACTCGCCCTTCCATCAGATCCAGACTTCGTGGCTGCAACTGCTCCTACTGGCAACAATCAGCCCATGGATGTGACCTCGGCCATTTTCCAACAGTCCCAAGCTCTCTCAACCCTGGTGGCACACTTGGTAAACCAGGATGGGCTGGCCGATTTTGCTGGAACTGGCAGCTCCTCAGCCATCTCCCTGAAGGGGTCAGCCAAGAGAGACAAGCTCATGATGGACCTGGCTATGAGGAAAGGCGACTTCTTCCTGAAGGTGTCTCAGAATGCCTTCCGTCGCTTGAAACCCACAGAGAAGATGCCGAGGACCTTGGAGGAGTTTGCCGGCAAACCGATCTTTGCGAAGTATGCGGAGAGGAGTGGTGGGTTCTCTGGCCAGAGAGATTTCGGGTTGATGATGTGGCTACTATGCCAGATTGGAGATGCCATGATCAATGGAGACAACAAAGGAGCACAGGAGTTGCTGGCTCTAACCTTGGTGACGATCGAGCAGGCTGCCCAAGACAATGGCAAGTGGGAGGTTGCATGGATCCTATCGCTTCAGGAGGATCCCCCTCCGGGCCTCTTCATGGCAAGGCCAGCCTCGACAAATCCGAGGCTCAGGGCTTTCTCTCCACTATGCCCTCCAGAGTGGGCAGCAACTGCGTTGTCCTTTGTCAAGGAGGTGGATATCATCAGCACCCGACGTCAGGAGGCCCTCCCATCGAAGAAGACTCAGAAGCAAGGGGAGGAGGCCGACAATCCCAAGAAGAAGCCACAGAGGTATCCGAAGAAGCCAAAACAAGGAGGGGAGTAGACCTCGAACTGGATGAAGGGCTCGAACATGGGTCCATCTCTTCTTCAAGCGCTCCTTTCTGGGCTGAGGATTCCTACGACATGCACCACGATGCCTACCACTACATCCCCTGTTCCGGAAGCGAAGACTTCTGCCGGGATGATGGCACTTTTGCAGATGATGCGGGACCATTTGAAGAGGAACCTGCATCAGAGCCACCCCCCACCTCCAGGCAGTGGGAGAGGCTACAGACCTTTTCTTTTTCTAGATGGGCATCTTCTCTATGCTCAGAAGTTTTGAGGTCGAAGACATCCTTCGGGATTTTTCTCCGTTCAACTCTCACGGTTCAAAGATTGCTTCCAAGTACATCTTCAAGTGCACTTTTTCCTCTACCAGTCCCAAAGCTTGGCATTTTCCTTCCAAGGAGGTGTGGCTCCAGGCAGAGAAGGAGGCTTATGGTTGATCGAGCTTTCCATGTCTGCATCATGGCCTTGAACTTCTGGCACGCCGACTTCAAGCATATTCCTGTGGAGTCGATTGCGAAGGAGCCATCACCGGCCCAAGCCCAGGCCCTGGTCAATTTGAAGAGGATGTTGAGGGCATTCGGTAGCTCCCAGGAAGAGTTCTCTGTTCCAAAGAGCGGCCGTAGACTGACATCTTTGATCGCGCTCCTCTCTGATCCTTCTGAGTTTGCTACATGGAGAGGCATCGGAGGTAGCGCCTACTCTCGATCCTTCCCAGGAGCACCGGATATCGGCAAGAAGGAGACCTACGTGCCTAGGAATCTTTCACGTGCAGAGGAGCTTCGTCCATATCGAGCTCTTGACCCCGATAGGCTGGTGCTGTCAGGGAAGGCTTTCTGGAACCCCGACAGGTTCCTTTCGGACATGCTTTGGATGGCTTTTCAAGAGCCAAACTCGCTACTTTGGACGGCATCAGAGAGGTCTTCTATGGTGCCGGACCTAGCCAGAGAATCATATGACTCGGTGAGGGACCTTGCGCTTTTATGGGACATCAACGGTCTGCTACATCTGGAGGAGGCCAGGGAGGATGATGACCCCACTCTCGCGATGAGGTTCTTCAACTGTTACAAGAATGAGACGACTGACCGAATGATTGGAGACCGGAGGTCAAGAAACTATGTGGAAGGTCGTTTAGCGGGAGTCTCATCGGGCCTGCCGTCAGCTCAATGCCTCTTCGATCTTGAGATTGAGCTCCCCGTACAACGCATTTCAATATGTGCCTCAGACAGGAAGGACTTCTACCATCAGCTTGGAGTTCCTACTACCAGAGCGAGGACAAATCGTCTCTATCCTCCACTCCGAATCTCCGACCTCAAGAGCACCAAAGCTTTTCAGGCATGGGCCCTCCGGCGACTTGGGGGGAACCACTATGACCGTGCTCTGGAGGGTGATTTCTTGGCCTTCGGGGGGAAAAAGCTCAAGAAGGCTGCTGAGGGAGGATTGATCAACGCCTGCTTCGCAAGCATACCTCAAGGAGATCACCTTGGAGTTGAATTCGCCACGGACAGCCATAGGAACTTCCTCTACCATCGGGGCCTCCTGACTACAGAAACAGAGCTCAGAGCAGACTGCCCCTTCTACGGCTCGAACCTTGCCACAGGCCTGGTCATCGATGATTACTATGCAGTTTCGATTGAGGAGAACAGCTGTCCTATTTGGAATCCTGACCAGACATGGACTGGAAGGTCGCAGGCTGCTCAGCTGCTGCAGAAAGCAACCACTGCCTATGAGGAGGCTGGACTTCTGGGATCTCCTGCCAAGGACATCCTTGATGAACAGAAAGCTTGCATCATGGGCGCTGAGATTGATGGTAGCCAAGCTGCACGAGAGAATGGGGTGGTCACTGTTGGTGCCCCTGTTCACAAGCGCCTCGCCCTTGCCTATGTCTCCCTCACCCTGGCCAAGATGCGGTACACCACTGATGCTCTCCATGTTTGTTTGGTTGGAGGATGGGTGAATGCTGTGCTATACAGAAGACCTGCAATGTCGCTCCTCCAAGAGGTCTACAAGATCCCGCTGTCAGAAGTGTCCCAAGACTCACCTAAGGTGATCCGATTGTCAAGAGGTATGGCTCAGGAGCTCATCATGCTGGCAGTGCTTTGCCCTTTCCTTGCTACTGACATCTCTACGCACGTTCAGGAACAATGCTATGCCACTGACTCGTCGGATGCGAAGGGAGCTGTGGTCTCATGCAAGGTGCCTCGGAACATTGCTAGAGCTTTGGTGCGCACTGGCAGGAAGAAGACGACCTACACGAAGATGCTGGCAAAGCACGAAGCCGTGCTCAAGAAGATCGATATTGATTTTGAGGAGGCTGACATCCCGAATGATGAGTTCGCAGATGACTCCTTCACTGCTCCAGATCGACCACGGGCCTTTCGTTTCCACTTCATTGAGGTTTGCGGAGGCTCTGGAAAGATCACAAAATATGTTGATGAACTGGGCTGGGTAGTTGGACCAGTGCTGGACCTTGATAGATCTCCTGCCTACGATTTTTCAGTCCTGCGCTTGCTTCAATGGATTTACTTCATGTTGGAGGATGGCAGGCTGGATTCCTTTATGGTGGAGCCCCCATGCACTACATGCAGTCCGGCACAACACCCGGCTTCCAGATCGTACCAGGAGCCCAGAGGCTATGACCCTACGGATCCAAAGACCTTGCGTGGCACTACTCTTGCTCTGAGGTCGCTAGCTCTTCTACAGCTTGCTGCAGACTTGAATACCCCTGGACTGCTGGAGCAGCCTAGAAGGTCGAAGATGAGAAGGCTGTCAGAATGGCAAACGCTGGTGCTACTTGGCCGTGCGGAGGAGACCTGGACTGCTAGCTGCATGTGGGGATCTCCCCACCAAAAGGAGTTCATCTTCCTGACGGTCCATATGGAAGCAAGTGTCTTGCATAGGAAGTGTGACAAGTCTCATTCACACATCCGGATTGAAGGCAAGTGGACCAAGCCTTCAGCCACCTACACGAATCCTTTGGCCTACGGTATTGCCACCTGCTTTGACAAAGCCCTACGCACAAAGCTCAAACGTCTTCAGCTTCAAGAGCCCAAGACTCTCGGCCTGGAAGGTCTTTTGTGCAACGAGGTCATACTGTCCCGGAAGTGGCAAGTCGACAAGGTCTGGAGGTGGAAGAAACCCTTGCACATAAATATCCAGGAGGCCTTGGCAGCAGAGAGGCTTTTCCTCCAGGAGGCGAAGTTGCGCCCCCGGAGTCGCTTCGCCATCATCATGGATTCCAATGTTGCACTCTCATCCCTGGTTAAAGGGAGGTCTCCTTCGCATGGCCTTCGGAAGGTTTAAGGAGGGCTGGATCCACGCTGGTGGCAGGATGTCTGTACCCGTCATTTCATTTTGGCCCTACCAGGATACTACCTGCTGATCATCCTACAAGGGATCATGACATGCCAGAGCCTGCCAGAACGTTTATTGATGAGGGTGTCAGCTTGCAAAAGTTGCTGGCGCTATCAAAGACGAATGGGCTTCGAAGGTTTGCTGCTAACTGGCTCAGGTTGGTCCTGATCCTGATTGGGGGCATCCCTCCCTGGTTTGGCTCCTCAGAAAGTTGGCGCTATGGACATGTTGCTTATAAGCATTTTCCTTTTGGAAGCACTCGGCCTGTCCATCCTCGGATCATGAACTTCGACAGCTCTCTGGGCTATCCAGGCGAAGGACCATCCGCCTCCCTCCAATGTCAGGCTGTCGAGCTTGCGCCTCCATCTTGTCAGTGCTCTTGGATTTCAGCTTGGGCTTGGATTTTATGGACTTTCAGCATCTTGTGGCTCGGCCCTCTCTGTCGTGATGGACTTCCTGGACTTTTGCTCCTTGGCCTCCTCGGTCTCGATTGCGGATTTTTCTGCCTGGACTTTCCCGGCGGTGCGATCAAGAGAAGACTGACCTTTGCCAGTCGGTCCCGCTCTTCTTCGCGCATCCTTTCTGTTCAGCGCCAAGCCAGATCCCACCGGCATGTAGGTTTAGGTTTTATTTTCCTTTTAGCTAGTGTCCGGGTAGACGCGGTGAGCCATGGACCCAAGCTCGTGCCTCGAGATCGTGCTGATCAGGCAAGAGCCGCTGGAAGGGGAGACCTCGAGTTGCCCCAGGGGAGACCAGTCCTCCCTGAGACACAGAAGCAGCGAGACAAGCTCCTGAGCTACTTTTCGGATTGGCTTAGGGGCCATGGGTTTGAGCTGGAAGAAGTTTTGATGGCAGCCACGCCTGACCTCGAGACCCTGAACACACTGGTTGAGAAGTACGGGCGTGAACTTTACAGGTCAGGTCGACCATATGGACACTACTCCGAGACGCTCAATGCGATCTCGGGAAAGAGGCCACGAGTGAGAAGACACCTCCAGCCCGCGTGGGACCTTGCCTACGCATGGCTGCGCCAGGAACCGCCGGCGCACCATCTGGCACTTCCTTGGCAAGCGCTCCTATCGCTCATCTCCACGTCATGGACATGGGGCTGGAGCAGGGTGGCAGGTGTCATCGCCCTTTCATGGGGCGGAATCACCCGCATTGGAGAAGTGCTGTCAGCGTGCAGGCGGGACTTAATCCTCCCAGGAGATGTGGAATGGTCCATCAACTATGCCCTCCTGCAGATCGCTGAGCCCAAGACGAGATATAGATGCGCAAGACACCAAATTGCACGGCTTGATCAGCCGCAGCTCCTGAAGGTCATTGAAGTGGCGTTTGGTGGCCTGCTGCCCGAGCAGCGGTTGTGGCCTGCTTCAGGCCAAACCATGAGGCACCGGTTCCAAAAGCTCCTCCAAGCAAACAAGTTGGATACTTTGCCAGAGGGCATCAGCCGAGGCATTGACCTCGGATCGCTTCGAGCAGGGGGAGCCTCTTGGTTGTTGATGAGCTCGGAAAACTCCGAGCTCACGAGAAGAAGGGGCAGATGGATCACCTCCAAGGTCATGGAGGTGTACGTGCAGGAGGCATGGTCTGTGCAGTTTCTGCCTCGCCTTCCGCCAGAAGTCAAGAAATTGATTTGGAATGGTGCCCAGATTTTTCCTTGGGCTCTGGATCTTGTTGTGGCTTGGCACGAAGCCAAGATTCCGGAGTCAGCATGGCCATGTTTGTTCCTCCAGGCCTCGAAAGACTTTGAGCTGGACCACTTGGGTGCGAAGAGTTTGGGTGGTGCAGCCGCTGCCGCGGCTGTGTGTGCAGCTCCAAAAGAACCGTGAGAGAAACACCTGCTTGAAAGGTTGACTTGTAACCTTGACTGCAATGGTGTGGATGGCTCAAAGCCTCCCGCCACACCCGCCCTCGAGGCCGGAGGAACCTCTCCAAGCCGCTGCCGCGGCTGTGTGTGCAGCTCCAAAAGAACCGTGAGAGAAACACCTGCTTGAAAGGTTATATAATAGTATTTATATGTTATACATCTTTACCTCTTTTGACTTTTTGAATTTGTTTGATGCCATATCCATCAAGGATAGTAGCTGTATCTATTTGTTTTATTGGTCGACTGCTGTGATGGATGAACGGACCCAAGAAGTGCCAGAACTCGACCGGCAGACACGGCGGACCTGAGGTGCTCACGGGTTGGGTTCGTGTCGGCCATGGTCATGTTTGCTTTGGTGAAGATTCTTCCCGCTTCCCTGCTCACATCGGGAAGATGAAAAAGATCGTCCGGCCACGTACGTGTGGCTATGGGAAGTCTTCACTTCGGCATGAGAGGGAGAATCGACAGTAGCTTGGACTGACTTATACAGCATTGAGTGCAAGAAATGGAATTTGCTTTTCTTCACGCTTTCATTGCCTGAGCTTCATGCAACAGGCCCACTGAACAGAAGATACTCACCTGGATGGTTTGGATTAGGTCGAGGTCACCAACTCGAGTTGGCTGTGGCCACAGACATTTCACAGTTCAAGTGACACAGAAGCAGCTTGGTGTCTGGGTTTCTTGGTGTTCGCCGTTGGCCGTGTTTTTTCCACACAGGCAGAGATGTTGTAGCCAACGTAGCACCCCGCAGCTCGCTGAGCTCGAACGTAGTGGTTGATGCTATTTCTTCCCTTTCGACTTTGGAGTTGCTATTTCTTCCCTTTCGACTTTGGAGTTGCGTGTCTCCAGTGACAAAGAACTCACTGTTCTGCCACTCAGCAATATGTCAATCACAAAGCTGGCAATTCCCCTGCATGTGTCAATGGTTTTGAGGCAATCCACCGAATATCGTTCTCGTAAAAGAGTTGGTGTTAATAAGCATAGATCAGTCAAAACATTGGAATGTCATCCAAATTATAGAGTGACACATTCTTTGTTCCCGCTTGGAACCGTGGCGAACCGTCACCCAAGAAGGAGACGGAGCAGTAGTTTGCGATGTTCGCGGTGTTCACGGTCTTTTTTCAAAATCATATGTTTTGTTGACAGCGTTTATCTGGTATGGTGAGGGATACCTATCAAAAAGAACATTAATTCCTATCAAACAGAAAATTGATTCCTATCAAAAAAACATTAATTCGTATCAAAAATAACATTTTCCCTACTCCTTTGGTCCTGGTCTGCTGGTTCCCTGGTCGCTTGGTCCTTTGGTCCCTTTGTCCCTTGGTCCCCTGGTCCCTTGGTCCTCTGGTCCCTTGGTCCTCTGGTCCCGTGGTCTGGTCCCTTGGTCCTCTGGTCCCTTGGTCCTCTGGTCCTTCGTCCTGGTCTTCGGGTCCTTGGGTCTGTACTTTCGAGGCAAGACGCGTTAAAGGTGATTTGGGAATCTGGTCATACATCCTGTGAAGCACCGTAGCAGACCTTTTACCGCCACACGTAGCACACCTTTTTTGTGAGCCACCCTGACGGTAAAATTTAGACGAAGAAAGTGCCACTCCAAGGTAGCAAACCTTTTGTGAGCCACCTGAGGGCAAAATTTTGAAGAGGAAACCATTCCAACGTTGCAGACTTTTTGTTAGCCTTGCAAGGTTGAAACTTAGAGGAAGAAGTTGCCATTCCAACGTAGCAGGCCTTTGTTTTGTGGCAACCCGAGGGTAGAACTTGCTATTCCAACGTAGCAGACCTTTTGTGAGCCACGCGAGGGCAAAATTTACAGGAGCAGACCTGTTGTCAGCACAAACTTTAGAGGAGGAAGGTGCCATTCCAACATAGCAGACCTTTTGTGAGCCATCCACAGGTCTTGTGGTTTTGTGAGCCATCGTAAAATTCAGACAGATCACGGTTGAGAGGCAGAGAGGTCTACATCTACAAAGATCCAGAGGCCTGGAGATCCAGACGGATCTGCAGGTGTAGAGGTCTAGAAACCCACAGACCTAAAGATGGAGGTGTAGAGGTCTTGAGTCTTGAGATCCAGGGAGGTGTTGAAATCTAAGTTCTATACTTGCAGAGGGTGTAGAAAGACGTTCAGATCCAGAGATATCAAGAGCTCTTTTCACAGGTCTTCAGATCCACAGAATTTTACAAACGCCACGCAAACTGCACTACAAGGTTCGCAATCGCTGCGCTTGCCACGAAGTCTGCACTTATAGACGGAGGTTCACGCAATCTGCACTTTGAGGTTCATGAAGTGCTGCACCTGCCATGAAATCTGCCGTTCCAGTGCACAAAGTGCTGCGCCTGCCACGAGCCCTGCAACTGAAGGTGCTCAAAGTGCTGCCGCTCCTGCCACGAAACCTGCTACTGGAGGTGCTCAAATTGCTGCGCCTGCCACGAAATCTGCAGTTCCAGTGCACAAAGTGCCGCTCCTGCCACGAAATCTGCTACTGGAGGTGCTCAAAGTGCTGCGCAGGCCACGAATCTGCAGTTCCAGTGCACAAAGTGCTGCTACTGCCACGAAATCTGCCACTGGAGATGCTCAAAGTGCTGCGCGCCACGACATCTGCATATCCAGATTCACATGGCGCAGCGCTGCCAAGGCGGTTTGCAGTGGCAGGCGCAGCTCTTTGTGAGAGATTTTTTTGATACAAATTGACTTATATTTTGATAGGATATAAAAAATGTCTTTTTGATATATATTATTTTTTTTGATAGCCCGGCCGTTTGGTGATGCAAGACAAATGGTGTAGTAGTGGCTTGGGTATTGGATGCGGGTGGTCTCGGTTATGTCTCCATACCAGGACCCCATGGATCTTCCAAAGGAGGCAGCGCAGCGGTCACATGTCTTCCACATTTGCCAGTCAGAACACCTGCCGTTCACTGGCATGAGTCAGAGTAACACCACAACATGTTATTAAGAGTGTTTTGTTGTTTTTAAGCTCCTACGATCGACCTATGTGCATCCTGCAGAGCCCTAAATCCTAGAACTCGTTCCAGGCACAAGACGGAAGTTTGTTGAATGTTTTTTCAGACCTGCAAAGTTTCAAAGCTTCCACAGACGACTCGTTTCAGACCTCTTTGTCCGTTTCAATAACTTTCCGTCGCTTTGCAGAGGCCCATGGAGAGGCGGCCAAGCCATATGGTCCGAGCTCTCAGATGTTTCCCATAGCAGCAGAGGTTCAAGTCACGAGTTTCCCGGCAGTTGAGATTTGGCAGCTTTGCCGCCAGAGCTTGCGCCAGAGCTTGGGCCAATTGAAAGTTTGGACATGACAGCAAAACGCTACTCTTGCATTGCATGTTTGCAGGTTCCTTCAGCTTTCTTGGTCATCCCCCAGCCCCAATACATTCATCTTGATCCATGGACTTCTGACCATGCCAAGGCATGCACAAGGATGAAGGCAATGCACAACGACCATGGGCCATGGGTGGGCTATTGGGCTGGGTTAAGTGACGCACGACTGGCGCCTCTCATCGCAAGTAGGCTCCGGTGATTGGAAAGCTCATCCTTGACATCAGAGTTTTGTGGGAAGATGATTGGAGATTTGGAGTTGAAACTTTGCATAACTCTCCTTTTCACGCCGTTTTGAGTTGACTAGGGGCATGTTTTGTCCGAGTTTCTGAATGTAGATCAATTTAATCACCGAAAGACATGCACCTGATACATATTGGACAAAAACATGATTATTTAAAAAAAAAAAAAGATATTCTCAGAATTTGGCATCGTTGCCAGGTCAGTCGTTGGTGCTGAGTGCGGCTGAGAATGGACTATGAACGGAGAGGAAGTTGAGCGGCCGCTAGGGGCAGTGGAGGATGTCAACCATGAGCGCCGGGGCCTTGGAGTTTTTTGAGCTTCTGAAACAAGACGAGACACTTGGCTTCAACATGTGTCGCGGAGTAAACTTATAGACGGTCCATGTGTCGGGCCAAGTGCAGAAGCACAGCCCTGATGTCGGAATCTGTTTGAACATGTTGCAGGAAATGGCCAGGATCCGCACTTGCCATGGTCTTGATCCTTTGGGGTGAATTACGGCTAGCTTCTATGCTCCTCCCCATGCACGCATGAGAGAAACTGGAGAAACTGACGTTCGGTCCATCACGAAGAAGAGGGTGGTAGGGGATCAAAGACGATTCTTGATTCCCTGAAAGTCAAAGACGTCTTGATTTTCAACATGGTCTTTGGATGACCGAGTCTAGGAATTTCACACTTGGGTGGTGCCAAGAATAGTCGAACTGGACTTCTAGGGGAGTGGGACTTTAATACAACCCTGCTACAGGACATTTCGGATACTGGATACTGTTTGGTCACACAGATGCTGCAAGTGACTCTGACCTGGTAAGTCATGCTGCAAGGTGTCAGTCTTTGATACACATGTCAAATAGACATGGTTTCAGGACCATGCTTCGCGATGGGGGCGCGACAGATATTGTTTTTGTTTTTTTCCCACGAAGAAAGGCCATTCCATCATGTAAAGAAATTTCAACCCCTGATGCCCGAAGAGGTTTTATATCGTGCGTGCAGGATGTGTTTGGGGGCATACAGCATACGCACATTGGCATTAGCATGCGATATAGTCCTCCCATAGAAACTTGAGCCAGTGGGTGTTTGGTCAAAGACCTGCCACTTGAACTGGTGTCAAGATGAGACACGGTGTTTTTTTGTGTTAAACAACGCAATCACACCTCTAACGGTGTCGCCGGTCCTGCCTGCCGGAGAGATAGGAGAGAAACGCAAGACCAAGCTGCCAGAACCGGCTAAAAGCAGCCAGAACCACTGGCTGATGATCCTCCATGATTTTTCAATGATTTTGTCCAGTCCCTCCCCAGTTCTGGAAACACTTTTGGCCTCCGACCAGCTCTCCACGAGCTGCTTTTATGAGGCGAGGCTAGGAGGGGCCCTTCGGAGCAACCCAGTGGCGGACCGGCGAAGCTCATGCCGCCGAGGCATGGCATGGCCAGAAGTTTGCGCCAGGGTCCAATGGACATTCCTTTCTTTCTTTCTGTCTTTCTTTTCGTTTTCACCTTGTTTGGCACCATAGATTCTTCTGGAGTGACCAGTTCCTTTTGTTTGTTTTTTCAGCATTCTGAAATATGACAGGTGGCAAAGACAAGAGCATTAAAGCATGGGAGGAACTGAACAAGAAAGAGAGCACTTGTTTGACCCAGAGAAAACTGTTGAGAATTGGACAAGCTTCTGAAGAATAATAGTAATATAACAAGAATAAGAATAAGGAGAAGACAAGCAACATAACTAGTAGCTAGAAGAACTTAAGGGATGGGGGAAACCAACTTCAACAAAAAGAAGGGTCGGCAGGGCTGAACATATCAAAAAAAGCAACATAGGCATAGCAGAAGCTAATCAAGAAAGGGTCAAGAGATACGTCAGAAGAGGAACAAGCATTTGACAGGTGTCAGGTGTACTGGTTTTTGAGCTGTATCTTGAGGATAGGGTTTGGAGCCATAGCAACACAAAAGGAAGAACAGCAGAGGGGATACACATCAGTTCAGCAGATGAACCAGCTTGAACCAGCTTTCCTTCCCCAAAGGTTTCCTCCTTTGTAGGGGTCCCAACTTCAGAAGCTATGAACAGCAATGAACAGCTATGAAGCACTCAGAAATCCCATCCGAACGCACGCACGGCCTGCGGTCCGGACGCACGCTTTTCAGGAGCTCTTGGGCCAGCGCTTTGACCATAGGCCTGAGTCGCCGGGCGAAGTGGATGATCGTAGGTTTAGTATGGTTTAGTTATATTTAGGTATAAGTATTAATAACAGCTTGTTTTTTCTCAGGGGGGTGCGTCTTTCTGATTCTGCGGCTTGCTGCTACTGCGGCGGGGACGATGACAAAGACGTACGATGACCTCGATGTACTACTTCTACAGCTTCCGCTACTGCTGCATGCGAATGCATGCTAATATAACTACTCCTGATGCTCCATGATTCAAGCTTACCCATTTTTTACCCCACAGGACTACTCCCGCGGTTGATTGCACGACAGCTGGGTTTCGGTCTGCAGCTCAGATGACGACCGAACCTGCTCCCGCCGTCGCCGCTTCGGTGCCAGAAGGTCAACATTCAAATTGACGTCCTGGTGGTAGAACCCCCAACAAAGTAGGTGACTCACCTACTGGCCTCCACCTACTGGCCACATGCTTAAACTAAGGGCGAGGACGGGCCTAAAAACATCGCCTCCATCCAAAAGCGAAGGCCTCCAGCAGAAGATCGGAATTCCTTTGAAGATCGTCATCCGATGGCCTCTCAGGTCCGTCCGAACTTCGACGACTTGGCCTGACTGTCCAGCTCGGCTCCTCAGGAGTCGCGAGCGCTCGGCGACTGTCCTCAGTCGTTTGGGTGGTTGGGACTAACGGTATGATGGTGTTATGTGTTATTTTTTGTATTTTATAGTAATGATGTATGTAATTGTAATGATTAGTGTGTTTTTGACATTTGTTATATTTTGTTATATAATCTCTGTTATGTGTTGATTGTGTTTCCGATAGCACAGTAATAGTTGTTTTGTTCTCCTAAGGGTGCATGCAAATGATTGATCAGATTTTATGTCCTATATGCATGTACTGTATAATTTGTGCTGTGTGCCTCTACCCCATGATACGGTATTGGCGGTTTCTGTTGGACTGGACGATCTTTGTGTGACATCCTTCCCGAACCTCAACCCAACCCAAAACATGTAGCCTCAGTGTGGTTTTGCTCATAAGGTGCCCTGGTATTGGGACCGCAGAAGCCTGCTGCTTAGAACTTCACCGAACGTGTGGTGGACCTTGTTTTTGTTCGCTTGATTACTAGAACTACATCTACATTCACATGTAACATACTTTGTTGCTTCGACAACTTTCCAGCCGCTGTAACGTAGGGCCTCATGGCAGCTCAGGTTAAGGACGGTGAAGACCAACGAGATGTGTTATTTCTCGGTTGCTCCATTTGCCTGCCAGACGGCACTTTTTTTTGCCAGAATGGATGGGAAGGATTTGCTGACAAGCAAAGCTTGACCAAACCTGCATATGCAATTTTCTACGGCGGGTGCATGATGGAAGAACATATGCGATGTATGCAATCGCTTTGGCGGAAACCGAAGATAGACTGACCACATTTGATTTGCAGGGGCGGTGAAAAGTACTCCAAGCAGCTGTCAAGCGAGGAGAATTCCTTGAGTGTAGGAGTGCTGATTGCAGGTTTGGCAATGGCACATCAGGAGCCGGTGGTTTTCCTCATGTGTTTTATGTTTGATGGAGTGAGGATATCTCCATGTCAGTGGGCATTTGGTAAACTGCCTGCCAGGTCTTTCGAGTGAAAGGTTTTGCTTTCAAGCTTTGTGCATGACTGCCCGACCCTCAAACCCGCCACATGTTCTTCCCTTTTGATGCAGACAATGTCACACTAAAGCACCGTTTGCAAGCCTTGCCTTGGACTAAAGCACCTCGACTCTTCGGCATCTCTCAAAATGCCAATGGGACATGCGTCCATATGCCGTGTGGGGGTGGAAACCAACGCCTTGGTGTCCGTGTCCGTAGGGTCCGTGTCCGCAGCTCCTTCCGTCGCCCGCAGGTCCGACGCGTGACGCGCGTGCGTGGCGTCACTGGAAGCCTTGCATCGAACGTCATTGGAAGCAGCGAATCCGAACATCCCAAAGTGGTGCTCGTGCCGTTGGTCTAACGCCTTTGGTCGAACGCCTTTCGGGAGCTGGAGTGGTCTAAGCCTAGCTTTGGAGATGAATTGGAATGTACATGTGGTGTTTACCAGGTGTTCACAGATCGGCGTGCCGTTCACTACGTCCTTCACCCCCCAAAATATGACGTGGTTCTTAACGTGCCAAGTCCAGTGTCCAGAGAAAGTGCAACTAGTACAACTATGGCAGTCAAAATGTCGACCAACACATGCCTTGCAACGCCAATGCGTTTTCATTCTTATTGGATCTTGTAGGCTTTGACTTCCAAATTTGCTGCGTTTGCTAACCATGCTCCAGGGAGTTCGGTAGGGGAAGGTGGCGGCATGAGTTCAGCGTTTTGTGTGGCAGCCTGTAGGCACTGAGAGTGTTTGGAGCAATGGTCTGGAACCTAATAGCGATGGCCTCCCAGTATTTCTCCTAAACTGTGACCAACACCACTGGTACTACCACTAGATGTCCTCCGTTGTCTTTCGCGTGTCTAGTCTAGCACCGATGCGCCAACCGATGCGCCGACCGACGCGACATGTGGCCGGGACATGCTGCACCTCTTCTTTCGTGCCAAGGAACCATAAAATTGTTTGAACAAGTGTATGATGTTGAAGACGGGCGCGGGCACAGGTGAAACAGAAGGCGTCGAAGTCCAAGCAAACGGTATGATGTATTCAAACTCTTTGCTTGAGAACCCGAGCTAAGTATGGGCAAGGGCATGAAAGGAAAACCAATGAAAATGATTAATTAATTAGTTTGTTTAACCAGAAATAGTCCGATGAGGAAATTGGTTCCCTCCAAAATCCGCTTGCAGATGAAGAATCAGACAGACCTCAAGGTCTGTTGCTCAAATGGCACTGCTCATCCAGGAGACCAACTGCCGCCGTTCCAGCGAGGGGCTGGTGCTTTGGCCTCTGGTTTCTGCGAGGGGCTGGTGAGGACATCTCCATCTCTCAACTGGAAGCTTGCGGATTTCCGCCCAACTCAGCGACTTCCAGCGGACTTTGGGGAAGCTGGAAGCGGAAGTCGATGGAGAAAGCTTTTGCGAAGCTGAAGGAAGTGAACATCTCACTCATTACCAATCTCACCTGCAACGGCTTCACGACCATTTGGCCTCGCCTCCGTGACACAGGCATCTAGCATTTGCCCCCACTACTCCGTGACACCAGGAAGCTCCTCGTGGAAGGACCAAGGCCACCCCACTCACGGCCGCCCGGCTGCCACGGCGGCCGGACCTCATCACTGTTCAGAGCGCCGGCGCGGAGTGTTGGAGTACTGCTCGATGAAAGAAACAGTACTCCAAAAAGAGAGAGGACACATAGTCGCATTATGTCACATTTTTGGAAAAGGAACGTTTCACTGACAGGGCATACAAGGGCACCATGATACCCAAGAAAAGCAATGTTGATCATTGTTGGGCATTCTTGAATATCCAGACCTCCATGTTCTATTGTTGCAGTGGTGAACAGATGTAAGGCATTGCCGCGTTTTGATGTAAGGTCCCAGGCATTCATGGGCCACCTGCCACATTGAGAAAGCAGGAAGCTTATTAGCAAGGCTGGCAGCTCGCCAGTCCAGCCAGCCTTTTTAGGAGGACTCGGAGCCGCCGCCGCTTCTAACAGCACCGTTTTGCTTCTGACAGCAAGATCTCGTTTGCTTCGCAATCCTGTGCCCCAATTAAGTTGCCTGGCGGCCCAGCCAGCCGACATCGTGAAATCCCCATTTGATGAAAAAAGAGTGCTTTAGCCTATGGGGCACAGCCGGCGTGACTAAAAACTCTGCCATACCATACAAAGGCAATGTATGGATTTCACTTAGCCGCTAGGGGGGATTCTGCGCCCTTAGCAAGCTTCCCGTTTGATGCGTGGGAGAAGGATGTCTGTTTGTCTACTACATGTTGTTTTGCCTAAAGTTCACAATCCTGAGCCAGCTGAGCAAGATAGGCAGCCCGCAGGTCATGGGTTGGCACAGTGGTTGGCACCATCATGGGCTGCGTTGGCACGGCGCCAACGCCGCCAGCGCCATGGTGCACCATGGCGCATGGCATCCGGTCCTTGTCAAAGGAAGTTTAGTGTGCAAAACTTCCCTGTTACGGACATTCAACAGCTGTTCAACCACCACTCATCATACACCACTCATCATACACCACTCATCATACACCCCTCATCATACACCACTCATCATACACCACTCATCATACACCACTCATCATACAATACTCATCATACACTACTCATCATATACTACTCATCATACACTACTCATCACACACCACTCATCATACACTACTCATCATACACCGCTCATCATACACCCCTCATCATACACCACTCATCATACAACCACTCATCATACATCACTCATCATACACCACTCCTCATACACCAGTCATCATACACCACTCATCATACACCACTTATCATACACCAGTCACCATACACCACTCATCATACACCACTCATCATACACCACTCATCATACACCACTCATCATACACTACTCATCATACACGACTCATCATACACTACTTATCATCCAGTTTGCTCTACCTCCAGTTGGCTCTAGTGTCAATAGCTCTAGCTCCAATAAGCTCTGAGTTTCAATAGCTCTAGCTCCAGTTAGCTCTGGTTTCAACAGCTCAAGCTCCAGGCAACTCCAGCTCCAGGTGCAGATTTCGTGGCAGGTGCAGCACTTTGTGAACCTCCATGTGCAGATTTCGTGGCAGGTTGCGAACCTCCATGTGCAGATTTCGTGGCAGGTGCAGCACTTTGTGAACCTCCACGTGCAGATTTCGTGGCATGCACAGCACTTTGTGCACCTCCATGTGCAGATTTCGTGGCAGGCGCAGCACGAAATGCCGTATTTTTCAATGGAACCGGTGGCTCCGAAGCTGGCAAGTCAAGGTCTGCGGAACGACGGGTGCGAGACGGTCTCGGGTCATTCTCGGAATCGTCCGTCCATTGGGATTAGAGTTTTCACTTGTTTCTTGAAGATTTCGTTGCAGGTGCAGCACTTTGTGAACCTCCATGTGCAGATTTCGTGGGGTGCAGCACTTTGTGAACCTCCATGTGCAGATTTCGTGGCAGGCACAGCACTTTGTGCACCTCCATGCGCAGATTTCGTGGCAGGCGCAATACAAACTGCGTTGTGGAGAGATAGCGAACGCACGAAATGCTGTATTTTTCAAAGGAACCGGTGGCTCCGAAGCTGGCAAGTCAAGGTCTGCGGAACGACGGGTGCGAGACGGTCTCGGGTCATTCTCGGATCATTCTCGGATCATTCTCGGAATCGTCCGTCCATTGGGATTAGAGTTTTCACTTGTTTCTTGAAGTGAAGATTTCGTGGCAGGCGCAGCACTTTGTGAACCTCCATGTGCAGATTTCGTGGCAGGTGCAGCACTTTGTGTACCTCCATGTGCAGATTTCCTGGCAGGCACAGCACTTTGTGAACCTCCATGTGCAGATTTCGTGGCAGGTGCAGCACTTTGTGAACCTCCATGTGCAGATTTCGTGGCAGGCACAGCACTTTGTGCACCTCCATGCGCAGATGTCGTGGCAGGCGCAATACAAAATGCGTAGTGGAGAGATAGCGAACGCGCGAAAGTATTTTTCAATGGAGCCGGTGGCTCCGAAGCTGGCAAGTCAAGGTCTGCGGAACGACGGGTGCGAGACGGTCTCGGATCATTCTCGGATCATTCTCGGAATCGTCCGCCCATTGGGATTAGAGTTTTCACTTGTTTCTTGAAGTGAAGATTTCGTGGCAGGTGCAGCACTTTGTGAACCTCCATGTGCAGATTTCGTGGCAGGCGCAGTACTTTGTGAACCTCCATGTGCAGATTTCCTGGCAGGCACAGCACTTTGTGAACCTCCATGTGCAGATGTCGTTGCAGGTGCAGCACTTTGCGAACGTCCATGTGCAGATTTCGTGGCAGGTGCAGCACTTTGTGAACCTCCATGTGCAGATTTCGTGGCAGGTGCAGCACTTTGTGAACCTCCATGTGCAGATTTCGTCGCAGGTGCAGCACTTTGTGAACCTCCATGTGCAGATTTCGTGGCAGGCACAACACTTTGTGAACCTCCATGTGCAGATTTCGTGGCAGGCGCAGCACTTTGTGAACCTCCACGTGCAGATTTCGTGGCAGGTGCAGCACTTTGTGAACCTCCATGTGCAGATTTCGTCGCAGGCGCAGCACTTTGTGAGCCTCGAGGTGCAGATTTCGTGACAGGCGCAGCACTTTGTGAACCTCCATGGGCAGATTTCGTGGCAGGCACAGCATCTGGGGAGCTGGAAGCTGAGAACTGGCGACTTTGTAGTACAACTTTAGTACGCGGAGCAATCTGTGAGCTGGAAGCTGAGAACTGGCGACTTTCTAGTACAACTTTAGTACG